AAAAACTCTCCTTTTTCTATCTTTAATTTTTCAAGGCTAATCTTGACTATTAAGAGATTGATGCTGAAAAGAAAATCACCATGATCATATAGGCTGAGTCAAAAATCCTTGTGTACCTCCCTGTGGACACTAATAAATACTATCAGAGATTACCTAAAATAGAAATTTAAATTGCTTAAATTATAAGTAATATTGAAAGTGACATGTATCCCTATCTTAACTTGGAAAAGAGACCACATAATTTATTTAGATTTTATAACATAGATGCACAGGAATTTTTGACTCATCTCTTTTGATATCAAAGAAGGTGTATTTTGCATTGTAAGTAGAGTTTTACTGAATTGTAGCTTCTCTTAGGAGGAGGTTGTATGACCAGCATTCAGGTATAGAAAACATGAAATGAAACAGTTATCCTCATTTGATGAATTATATTCAGTACACACAGTTTAGCTCTAACTGTTCTCTGAATATCCTGAGTTGTTTTTTTTTTTCCCTCTATTGCTAGGTTATTTTTAAATTGCAGACTGCCAGTACTTCTTCTCAGAAACACATACTATTACGGTTTTATTGTATTTGGTAGATCTTTTATATGATTAACTTTGATTATCATAATGTGAGTGATAATATAATACAGTAGAAAAATCTCATTTTAGATTAATAAACACAATATATGTCATTTTATAGAAGGATTATTTTGGTTGCAAGTGATAGAAAACCCAACTCAAATTGTGTGAAAGAAGGGGCTTTTTGCAGCTATGTAATTGAAAAATTTGAGGGTAGAGCTAGCTTCAGGTATGGTTGGTGTAAATAGTTTAATCAGAATCATGTCTCTCTGCATCTTATGGCCTTGCTTTCCTCTGCATTGGCTTTATTCTCAGGCTCCATTTAATTACATGATGCTGCCAACACTGCCAGGGTTTTATCTTTCTGATTCAAATCTAGTGGAAAAGGAATAGCCTCTATCCTGCTCCCCTAACCAGAGTCCTCAGTCACTTCTCATTGGCTCTGATTGAATTATTTGCCTTCCTGAGTCCCTGAGGCCAGCAGGACTGGTGCCCTAATTGGCCAGATCAGAGTCCACTGATCATCTGGGGAGTTGGGAGACCATGTCCACATTGACAGGGGAGAAGGGAATGAGTCTTTAGAGGAAAATTGGCTGTTGTTCCATAAGAAGAAGGAATGGATACTTGATGTAAAAGCCAATAACAACAACAGTCTCTCTATATATCCTTCTTCATCTAAGCCAATATTAAAAATCATTTATGTTGCCTAAATACAAAGATTTTAGTGGTAGAAGGCCATGGAGGTTGTGCTTTGTGGTTGGATGGTGTAGAGCTAGAATTTAAAACAATAATTCCATCTATAAAATGCAGAACCTCAGTGAAATAATAAAAGATGATAGTATTGGATACTTAATAGCTTAACTGACAGGCAGGAAGGATATTAAAAATATTTGACAACCTATGTAGTGGCTCGGAGTGAATTGGCTGCAGCCAATCAGAACTACTGCTGATCGTGACCTATCAACAGGGCCCCTGTGTGAGTGCTGGCAGGATGACAGCCCAGCTAACTAAGAGGTGTTATAAAGGTGCCACCAGATTTCTCAGAAAACAGCTTCTGTATGTTTCCTAGGGCTGCCATAACAAAGTACCACAAACTGGGTGGCTTAAAACACAGAAATTTATTCTCTCACAGTTCTGGAGGTTGAAAGTCAGAAATCAAGATGTCTTCAGAGCCATGCTCCTTCCATAGGCTCTAGAAAAGAGTCTTTCCTTGCCTTTTCTAGCTTCTGGTAGTTGATGGCAATCCTTGGCTTTCTTTGGCTTGTAGATGTGCTGCTGTAATCTTCGCCTCTTTCTTCCTACGGTCTTCTCTCCTGAGTGTCTGCCTCCCTAGCTGAATTTCCTTCTTCTTATAAGGACACCAGTCATATTGGATTTAGGGTCTGCCCTATGATTTCGTCTTTATTGATTACATTTTCACAGACCCTGTTTCCAGTAGTGTCACAAACAAGGTTCTAGATGTACATGAATTTTGGGTGGGTACTATTCAACTCAGTACAGTTACCTAAAATCAAATGCTCTTACATAGTTGGCATGATGCAAAATTTTTAAAAATGTTCAGTATGAAGTTGCTCACAGACACTATAAAAATGTTCTTATTTTATAGTTAAAAACTAGATTTTTGAATCTTACTAAAAGTATTTCAGTGAACTATGAATTTTTTAGCTGGGAGATGCTAGTCTATTTTTTTTTTCTACATCAGATAAAGTAGCTACATCTTTAATCATGATTATTTTAATTCTGTTAAAATATGAGTGTTAGTGTGACATTTTGGTGGAGAATTAATAATATTCATTGATATGTATGTGTGTTTGTGCAGGAGATACTACGTTTTTACACATGACTTCATTAAATTCAAACAAGTTTTGCCTAAAAAAAAAAAAGGAACTGACCACAGTTAGATGAACATCATTCATTAATGTACTTAACTAATGAATGTAAGTACAAGAAACAGGAGAGAAATGCAACTGGTGAAGGGCTTGAAAATCATATCTTCTAATGAACATTTGAGAATGGTGGTAATTGTCTTCAGCTCTTTGAAGGATGGCTCAGTGGAAAAGAGTTTAGACTGCAGAGGGAAGAACTAGAACTAGTGAATTAAGGTTGAAGGGAAATATTTCAGTGCAATATAGGACAAAACTTTCTCAATGAGCAATGTGCTGTAAACCACAATGGAGGAGGTAGTCATGTAAGGGAGTAAAGTGCAGATTCCTGGAAGTGCTGCATAATTACCTTTCTGGGACCTTTTAATGGAGATGTTGCTTTGAACAACAAATTGAAATGGGGGTTCCTTCTAGATTCAAGTTCTCCTAAAATTTCTCTTTCTATATATGCCATGGACATAAATATTAATTACATGATAAGGTATTTCTGTAAGTTTAAATGCTTTTTAATAGCTGCCAACCTAAAGCGTTGTTCTGTGGCTTCTGTGCTATGAACTGCTTGGGACAAAAAGGAGGTGGGGGAGATTTAATCTAAGAGAAGGAGAGAGATCATTAATAGCTGAGAAAGGTAAGGGATTAAAACTTCTATTTATTGAGTATCTACTATGTGCAGGGATATTGGATGAATTTCTTTATCCATATTATCTCATCTCATCTAACATACTTGGTCTTTCATTGCTTGTTTTGGAGCTTATGAGAAGCTGTAGTTCTTAGAATGATGAGTTCCTACAATAATTGGCATTTTCTTATGTATTCTTTGGTGTTGGAACACAGGACTCTTCTGATGGCTACATGTGCAAAACACATTTGCAAATTAAAAGTGGGACTACAGTGTCACATCCAGGAACATCTGCCCTTGTACAGACATGTCTTCCGATGGAGGTGAGTGATTTAACATGTCACATTTTCCTTTTCAGTCTTTGTAAAGTATGAAGTAAAAATTTAAATTGATAAATATATATTTTAAAAAATTAACTGCCATCAGATCCTAGCCTGCTGTAGGAGGAAAAGTGAACATCATTTGTAGGAGGTATTTTCTCGTATAATATTGAAAGCGGGAACTGTGGTAAAGATCCACTCCACGTCTGTACAGATTGTGGTGAGTCTTCACCCTTTTGGTTTCTCTTTGATCTGAAGACCACATGCTTTCTGTTGCCTGTTGATCTTTCTCCAGTGAAATTCCCCCAGGATAATACAGGCCTGACCCTCAGCTGTTTAAGACTTGGGTAGAGACCTCTTTGCCTAGTCTGCCTTTAATTTTTTTCCTCATGCCTTTTAAAATATGCTGGATCTGGGTCTCATTCCTTAGGGGACTTTAACCTTGACTTGAAAATCTTGCTAAATTAAAATTTAATAAGGTACTAATAATGGATTAATGGTTTTCTGGGATATTTTCAATTTTCTTTTGATCAAAATGCAAATAGCCTTATTGTACTTTTTATTGTTAATAAAATTTTTAATATATCCATTGTAAAAATAAACAATAGAGAAATATATAAAAAAGTTAAAAAAATTCCCATACATCCTTCAACTGGAAGTAATAGCTATTAATATTTTAGTTTCATACATTCTATCATATACACACATACGTAGCTCTGTTCTGCAATAAGCAGGGATAGCATGGATACCTTTCCCTGTCAGTAAATGTAGATATCCATATTTTAATGGCTCTAATGCATTCCATCCTATGGATGCACCATAATTATGTGGAACCCATACTGAAGTAAAATACTTGAATTTTAAAATAAAATTGGTGGGGATCAAATTGCTTCAACATAAAGAAAGAAAGCTAATGCTTAGAATTCCGAGTATCCTGGTAAAATGGGAAAGGAGACTTTTTTTTTAAGGAAGAGCCCTTTCTCAGGACCTGTTAAATCAGACCTATCTGTCAATCCAGTGCTAACCCCCTCTGCCAGTGTATGATGCTGGCCTGAAAGTAACTCTTGCCAATATAATTTAGTTTGCAAGTTATTCGTGAGGGTATTGTGCTTGGTAATAGAGTAAAGTGCCCTGAGTGAGTGTTCAAATCTTGATTACTGCTTCGTGGTTCGAAAAACCAACATCATATCTGAAGCCAAGCATGTTAGGAAGCTTTTCGGCTCTTATGTATTAACTTTAGAAAATGCATATGATGATGATTTAAAGGATGAACTACCAGTTTTTACCTAACAAGCTGGCAGAGATTTGAAAAACACTCAAAAGTGGTGTTGACAGCGTGAGGGGACTGACACTTTCTGGTTGATGTTTTAACTTCATGAAGTTTAAAGATGTGCACATACAATGAAAGATCTATTCCAATTCTAGGAATTTAGCTTAGTAAAGTATAATTTTTTTCAACATTTTTTGGCAACATTTCCCAACAAATTTCAGGCATATGAAAAAATTGAAAGAATTTTGCAGGGAACACCCATGTACTTATTATCTAGACTCTACCATTAACACTTTGCTGTGCTTGCTGTATTGTATATCTATCCCTCTATTCATCTATTAATACATCTTCTTTTTTGATGTAATGCTTTTACATCAAAGTAAATTACAGACAAATACTCATAAAATAATAAGAAATGTACACAAAGATTTACCTGCAAGTGTACTCATTTTCCCATTATTTATAATGGGAAAAAATAGAAACAACTGAAATGTTCAACAGTAGTGGATTAGTTACTTATGGTTACTCTGTGATGAAGTTTGTGATTCAGTAGGTCTGGACTGGGCCTGAGAATTTGCAGTTCCAAGTTCCCAGGTTATGCTGATGCTGCTGGTTCAAGGACACACTTTGAGAACCACTGCACTACTTTAGAATAGAATGCTTAGCATATTTGAGGTGCTATATAACTGAGATGGTTAGTTAATATGATGTTTGATAGAGTTGATATTGCAACAGTCTTGATGGGATGAAAAAGGTCTTAGGTTGAGCCTGAGATGGAGATTCCTGTTAAAGTGACTTATTAGGGTTGTGCTCTTAGGAGAAAGAGAGTGACAGAAGCAGGACAGAACAAGGGATAAAAGCTAAGAAAGGTTATGGTTTCAGCTAGAGACTAACTTTAGTCTGATTCTTGTGAAGCTCTGGAGGATAGATACCCAGAATTAGCCCAAACTTGTGTCTTTGAGGTTGGCCTTTTGTACTCTGTGACAGTTATTGGTTTGACGATCAGTCATTGGCTAACATAGAGGTAGACATGCTACCCAAGCAAGATGACTTCAGTATTACTGAGAAATTCTTCAGAGAAGGGGACCACTGTGTGTTATCAGCCAACAAGTACAACAGCTGAGTGAGGATGGGTATAATAGCCTTAAGGAGACCTGGGCAGGGCACTAACAGCATCTACTACCAAAGAGTAACCTGAAACCAACAAAATGGGATCTGTGAGGAAGTATATGTATGAGGTCTGCATTTAGATGCCAAGGGGGAGGCTTGACATGACAGCAGTTTGTTTGAGAAAGAGCTGGTAATTTTGGTTGACCACAAGCTCAAGATAAGTGAAAAGAATGCCATGGATGCTAGAGAAACTAACTGGAACCTAAGCTACATTAATTAAAGCATAAATGGATCCCACATATGGTCTGGGGATCCCTGGAGGGTCCCAGAGACCCTTTCAAAGGGTCCATAAGGTCAAAACTATTTAATAGTATTAAGATGTTATCTACATTTTTTACTTTCATTTTCCCCAAGTTTTCCAGAGGCTACCTTCATGTGATATTGCAACAGATTGAATGCAGGAATAGTTATAAGAATCCAGCTGTCTCCAATTAAGCCAGATGTTAAAAAAAGTTTCAAAAATATAAAACAGTGCTGCTTTTCTTACTAATTAATGTTGTTTTGGAAAACGTATCTATTTTTCATAGAAATTTACTATTATATTACCAAGTATCTTTTCCATGTATTTTTTAAGTGAACTAATAATCTTTTTTAATTTCAATTTTAACTTCTAATACAGTAAACATCAACGTAACTCTCTTAAACAAAAGTTCATTGGAGTCCTCAGTGAATTTTAAAAATGTGAAGGGGTATTGAAACCAAAAAGTTGGAAAATCACTGATCTAGATCAGGGAAATATTACGTTGTTACATGTGAAGAACAACTCTGATGGCTAGAATGCATAATGAATGAATCCATAAATAATAGTTAAAAATGAATCATAAGTAGAATTTATCCATGCAGAGAAGCATGCCAAGGGCCATGAGTGGGCTTGAAAATATATTATTATGAGGAATATTTGGGAGTTGTGGGGATGTTAAACTAGAACTGAAGACCCAGGAAAGTTAGTTGTCTTAAGGTATCTAGAAGCCTTTCCTGTAGAAGGGAAAGTAGACTCATTTTGTTTCCAACAATAGAACTAGTTTGTGTCTGGAAATTATTCTAGACAAATCTCTCTACTGTTTAGAGTTGCCTACAATAAAAATGGTCATCTTGCAAAGTTGTGAGCTCCCTCCCCTTTCATGGAAATGTTCAGTCACACAGTAGATAACTTTTTCTCCGAACAGCGGTTACTGACTGAAATACTCAGATGCTTAATGCACCAAGCAGTTGATGAGTGAGTAAAGCAGGTTGATGGGAAGTGGTGGGAGGTGTGGAGAAGTGGAGAGGACATGGCTCATCCAAAGGAGCTTTACATATGCAGCTCCAGGTAGAATTTCAAGAGAAGGCCGAGGTCTGGATTTGTGTGTTGGTTTAATTAAAAAAGTGAAAAAAAGGTCTGTAGTCCAGAAACACTATATATAAGGGCTGCAAGTGGTCCTTAGGCCATCTTTTTATTACCCAGACTGTAATATTATAGCAAGGATTCCACATTGTGTAGTAGACTGAGCTGGGGACCTCTGAATTCTCTTAAGAATTTAAAGCCCAGTCAATATCTGCATATCACATTTTCAGTTTAAAGATGCTTAAAACAATGCCTCTATTAATAGGTGCTTTAAAGAAGATTGAAAAAAAAGTTGGCCATGTATGAAGTGGGAGATCAACTCACTTTTTTGTTCTAACCAGAACTGACAATCTTGACTGTAGAAGGATAGTGGATTTATGATTTTTATGGCTGTGAGATTATCTATAATGGTATATAGATAATCACAGGATTTTAAAAATCAGTGTGAAATATAATGGAATATGTAAGTGAAGTAATTTGTGAAAATCATAATCTATGTCTTCTTTGAAATTTTAAAATATAATTTAAAATAATACTTTAAAGAGTGAAATGATATTCAGAAATCTACTAAATATATTGGGGTATCTTAGTACTGGTTTTGGGGAACAGGAGTTCTTATAGGTTAATCATTAGATGAGACGTTTATTGTTAAAAGTAGTTAATATGATTTGCTTGTGACATTTTTGAGTTTGTGAAATAACAAACCAAACTGGCAATTTTTGAACACAATCCTTTCTTTACCAGTAACCAAGAGAAATCTACTGCCTCAATTTGAAATCTTGTAAATGTAAATGAATATTTTCAGTAGGAGCCAAAATAATCAACACTGTCTTTGGAATATCTTATTATATGTAACACTAATTTCCATAAATGGATGTTGGTGCTAATATTTCACTTTATCAACTTATGAATTTTTTGGATTTAATTGAAGATGTTCCTTAGAGAAATTAAAGTATGATCATTTAATAGTAAGGAAAATGTGATTTAACAGTTGGTCTCCTTTAATGAATATGAGTGTATTGTGGAAAGTTCTTATCAAAGCCTTATTTATGTAAATAAAACAATAGTTTGAGAATGGAAGTGGGAACACAAGCTCTATATTCCAGTTAGATAATTTTTTGATGAAGATTAGCCATTATTAACCTTTAAAACTCATATGTAAATATTATTGCAAAGTAACTGCTAACCTTTAAAAATATTTTGTAGGGTTATAAATTAACTCATTGGCTAATAAAGACT